AGCACAGGAGTTAGAGGAATCAGAACTTCCTAGACTTTAAACACTGGAGGCTGCAAGTGGGAGAGGAACAGTGGAAAAAAACCCTGGCCAGGGTTTGGTCTAGTTTAACGTGCTGAGAAACCTGTGTGGCGGTCAGGGCTGCTGCAGCTAGTTCACTCTGGTGCTGTGCGACACAGGAGACTTACCAGGTTGCACCTTAAGTCTGGCCTAATGGCAGTTCTTATAGCCAACTACTTGCATAAGTTTCTGGGCTTCAACTTAAATGCAAAAAGGTGTCATTGCAGGTAGTTCAATGAAAGACCTGATCAGTGAACTGTGGCACTAAATAGTCTACACTATGTTGGCATATGCAAGGAGACTGACTGTGCTGCCACTACATGAGACAGTGGCACCTCCTACCCAGAAATACTATGTTCAGTTCTGGCCACAAGGTTAAAAAGATGCACCTCTCCCTGCTTTAGCCAGCAGAGGCTCAGAGGGGGGGAAAAAAAAGAGCAACTGGAAACACAAAAAGATGACACATTAACAAAATGATAAGGTAGCATTGTTGAATTCAGAAAGCTTTAAATAAAAAAAAAAAAAAAAAGAGAAATAGAGGATCGAAGATGCAAGTAGATCCCTAGAGGAGCCACTGCTGCATTAGAAAGCAGAATATTTCCAGAAGGGGTATGAACCCTCACCCTTCAGGACATGCATCAAAAGCAAACTAATGAGGGCTAGAAAGAAGTCCTCCCATATAGGTAAGTTATTCTGCAGTTGCCCACTAGGCAGGGGAAGGGAGGGGGGTTTCTGAGTCTTCATTTAAGCAGGTGATAACTGGACCAGTTGACCCAGAGCCTGATCTGATATTGAAATGCTTGTCATCTCACTCAAGTACTGAGCCTGCTCAGTCCTGTTTCAAGCTCTGACTGGATCACAGCAGAACATGCGGTGGTGACTGGGGTTTCAGTTGAGACACTTCAATACCTGAAAAAACAAAACTGAAAGACACTTAAAGAAGAGTCACACGTGGCTAAGCCAGAATTTTTCCCTATGAATAACCACTATAAAAAAAAAGGTGCAGCTTGGCCAGTCCAGGGCTAAAGAAAAGTTAATGTCTAAAGTACTGGGTGGGTAGAAATACCAGGGAAGAGATTATTACAGGTGGCATATCTAAGTAAACAGATTAAACTCATGTTGAGTTCAAGCTAGACCTGCAGAAAGTGAAATCCGTAGAGGTTGCACAGTGGTCTCCGAGCAGGGATAGGAGGGTAAGAGTAGGCTGGGCAAACATAGCACCAGCAATAAGAAAGGATGTGCTAGACCCCTTAGGCAGACAAGGTTCTTTGGGTAAACGCGATATCTTTTATTAGACGAATTAAATAGTTGCAACAATTTTTCCAACTATTTGGTTGGTCTAATAAAAGATATCACATTTACCCAAAGAACCTCATCTGCCTATGTCTTTAGACCAGGGGCGGGCAATTATTTCGGGAAGAGGGCCACTTACCAAGTTCTGGCAAGCCATCAAAGGCTGCATGACAGGCAGCCAGGGGCAGATAAATATTAACTTTCTAAATGTTTTACGGGACCCGCGGGCCAGATAGAATGGCTTGGTGGGCTGCATCCGGCCCACGGTCACATTTTGCCCACCCCTGCCTTAGACCAACACGGCCATGACCAACATTCCCCAAACCTCTTGGGTCTTTTCTCAACTGCAGCTTCTTTGGGGAGGAGTCGCACTGTGAAAAGCCCAGATGCAGGCTGCTGTTCAAAACCCAGTCTTCACTCATGCTGTGAGTCACTCGCTTGATTAAGAGCAAAGCTACAGTGCCAGCTAGTGGAAGAATCTTTCCTATGCAAGGCAGGCTTACAAAATTGCCACCAGAAGCCAAGGCCAAGGTCCATGTGAATCCAAGAGGACAGGAATGTGAAGAGACTGAGCTTCCCGAAGCCATAAAAACAGGCTCTCTTCCTCATTTCTCAGAATGCTTTATCCCTCTCGCTGCAGCCTTGATCTTGACAGGATTAAATCAGCCTACAATGATGCACTTCATAGTTGGGAGGGTCGGAAGGGACCTGAGCAGATCATCAAGTCTGACCCCCTGCCATGGCAGGAAAGAGCACTGGGGCCAAATCACCCCAGCAAGGTGTTCATCCAGCCTCCTCTTAAAGACCCCCAGGGTAGGAGCTAGCACCACTTCTCCTGGAAGTTGGTTCCGGATCCTAGCTGCCCTGACAGTGAAGTAGCACCTCCTGATGTCTAGTCTGAATCTACCCCCCGCCAGCTTGTGTCTATTATTTCTAGTCACTCCTGGTAGTGCTCGGGGGGACAGGGACTCCCCCAGTGCCTGCTGGTCCCCTCTGACTAGTTTGTAAACGGCCACTAAATCCCCACTCAGGCTTCTCTTGTGGAGGCTGAACAGGTTCAGGTCCCGTGGCCTCTCCCCGCACGGCCTGCCCTGCTGCCCCCTGACCATGCAAGTGGCCCTCCCCTGGACCCTCTCCATGTTGTCCACATCCCTCCTGAAGTGCAGCGCCCAGAACTGGACGCAGTACTGCAACTGCAGCCTGACCAGTGTCGCATAGAGGGGGAGGATCACCTCGTTGGACCTGCTCAAGATGCATCTGTGGATGCATGACAAGGTATGGCTGGCCTTCCTGACCGCGTCCCCACACTGTTGGCCCATGTTCATTTTGGCATCAATAATGACTCCAAGATCCTTTTCTGCCTCTGCACTGATGAGAAGGGAGTTCCCCAGCCTGTAGGTCTGCTGCTGGTTCTTTGTCCCCAGGTGCAGCACCATGCACTTGTCAGGGTTGAAACCCATCCTGTTCTCATCTGCCCACCCCTGTAACCTGTCTAGGTCCGATTACAGTCTATTCCTCCCTTCTAGCGTGCCCGCTTCCCCCCACATCTTAGCGTCATCTGCGAATTTGAACAGGGTGCTTTTCACCCCGCTGTCCAAGTCACTGATGAAGATGTTGAACAGTGCGGGTCCGAGGACCGAGCCCTGGGGGACCCCACTGCCCACATCCCTCCAGGTTGAAAATGACCCGTCCACCACCACTCTCTGGGTGTGGCCCTCCAGTCAACTAGTAACCCATTTGACTCTGTAGGCGTCAGTGCCACAGTTCCCTAGTTTTTTAATGAGAATGGGATGAGAGACAGTGTCAAAGGCCTTCCTAAAGTCCAGAAAGACTATGTCCACTGCTACCCCTGCGTCCAAGGATTTTGTGACCTGGTCGTAGAAGGCCACCAGGCTAGTCTGACAGGACCTGCCTCTAATGAACCCATGTTGGTTGCCATTTGATCAGAGTGCTATTACTTTGCAAAACAGACAGGGAGATGCAAAGTCCCTGGGTCCTTAACTGATATGCAGATAAGCGAAGTTTGTTACAAGGTGATCAACTGGGCTGGCACTCCGTTCCACAGTAAGTCTCTCTGACACGCACAGTGCTGCAGTTGCAACACTGTATGCTGCAATGAAGACAAGTGGCTAAAAAGTGCAGTATTTAAACAAATCAGAGGGGTAACCAGATATCATCAACACTCCACTGAAGTCAATAGGGGAACATGTACATGGCACAAGGCAGCATTGCAGAGACCAGAGCTACTTTTATACAATCAAGAGCTAAGGTATTGGAAGAAGCATAGCCACATTAAGCAGAGCCCTGTGCCAGTACTTAATGAGGCTGTTCCCTTTCTAGTACCCAAGTGACTTAAGTTACCTGAGCATGGCAGTGACCTGGGTTAAGAACCGCAAGTCTAAACAGCCTCTGGAGAGGCTTTATTGCTGTGTGGCCAAGGAATAAACTTGGAGAACTCTCTATTGTGGAGGGCACATGCAGACAGAACAGAGCTGCTACACTGGTCAGTGCACAGGCCCACCCTGCCCAGGATCCTCAACTTCATAGTGACACCGTAGAAGGTAAGGAAAGAGCATTTATGCAGGGCCTGTCCAGCCTGATCTGTCCCCTGCCCATTCGCAGGACAAAAGTCATATTTGGAGGCTGCACCCCCTATCACATTTAATATTTGCTGAGCATACATGACTTTGTTCAATCTCCTTTGGAACCCAATTAAATTATCAGGCTCAACAACACTTTGTGGCAATGAATTCTACAAGGGACCAGCTCCAACTACTTTCAAGGTTGGGGCTGCACCACCTCCTTGGGAAGTCTATTACAGATTCTGGTCACCCTTACCATAAAGAAGTTCTTCCTTGCATGCGACCTGAAACTATCCTCTAACAGTTTATGGCCATTGCTCCTCGTCCTCCCCTGGAGAACTCTAGTAAAGAGTTTCTCCCAGCTTCCAATATTCACCCCTTACCTACTTATAGATGGCCACCATGTCCAGCCAAATGTATAACTTATATAAACAATGCGTTTCATTTATTCATTAATTTTTCTAATAGATGACTAATTTTCCAAAATTCTGTGGCACACCTGTTCATTTCTGATGGCACACCATTGTGCCATGGCACACTGGTTGGGAAACACTGCACTAGGTCACCTCCAGAGGTCCCTTCCAGCCCAACTTCTCTAAGAGTCTATGATTCTAAGAAGGAAGGGTGTTACGGGTCACCGGTGTAAAACAGATACATGGCGAAGTAATGAGTACCACCCTGAACATCTGAGCATGAGAGCGCTGCTTGTCAGAAGGAGGGCAAAAATAGCACGAATCAAAAGTTTGTTCCTTCTTTAGAAGAGGTTCTTGAATAAGGCGCCAGGAACTGTAACCATGCATTGGCAGAAATGACCCATTGATCCCTTGAGGGGCAGGGAGATGCATGGAACCCATCCTTCTAGATACTGTGACAACAGGTCCCTTTGAAAACTGACCCAGGCAGCTGCTTGAGTGAGCTGTACTCCGTGTCATTATTCCTGACACATTTCCTACAACAAAAATACCATTTCAAGGGAAAACTTAACAAAAAAGTTAGTCCTCTGATGAGTAAATGCTACACAGACGAGAATATTCACAGATCCATGACATGGTACCTGCATCAACTCACCCCTATGGTTGATGCCATATAGTCTGCACACATTTCAGCAAAGTCCCGCTCCAGTACCCCATAATAAAGCCCGTAGAATAGGAGTGAAATGCCAAAATCCATCGCATCTTCTGGTTTGATTCTACAAGAAAGACAAAGGAATCGCATTTAACACCGAGCATGTTGAAAACCAGCTGCTGTAGAAACAGAATGATCGTGGCAAAAGCACATTAACTCCATTGCCAACAAATCCTGCTGGCAAATAAGCGCTTGTTGTTTTTAAATATCCTCACAGAATCATTTGCAACAGCTACATTGCAATCCTAGTCCATAATTCAAGGCCTCTGGGATGTCTCCCCAGCTAAGCTGTCGGAAACAGCCTCATCTTAATGCAGCAGAACACATTCATTCCAGTCTGTGCAAAATGCAGACAGTCTCTGCACTTTCCCCTGGAGGCAACAGACGTGCCTAGCAGTGAAGGCAGGACAGCTGGCAAGATGCATGTGACACCCACTAGCTCTCACGCAGAGGATGCCAAAGCCTCAAAATTAGGCAGCGCAGCTAGTTTGGCATGGCAGAGCGTGTAACAAGAAGCATGCCTGAGAGAGAAAGCTGGGCAGGTGCTTGGGGCTGCGCTACACAGGAGACTCTGGACTGTTCCTATGAGGGTAGCTCACAAGCTGCTTAATTCACAGCAGGTTGTTGAATTAAGGATGAGCTGCCCAGCTGTTTGCTGCAGCTTTTACTTCAAAGGGCATCACATCTCTGATCAGCTGGAGCTCATCAGTGGTCCTGTACAGCTGACTGATGTGACTCTATGCCCTGGTCACTTCGCAGAGGCAATAAGGATGCCTACTTTCTGGCTTTTGCTAAGAGGCAAGTGGGAATGTGCTTCTTGGGGGCACTCCCTGCCCCATGGCAGAGGCAATGCAGATTTGCTGGTAAAGTCCAATTCTGAGAAAGAGCAATTTCAGCTTAATTGTGGGTACTTGGTATCTCTCCAGAAGAGGTTTAGCAGCAAACCTGGACATGTTACACTTAAAAATAGCTTTAGAGCACAAAATAGGCTTCCAGCTAGTTGCTACATGCCTCTGCAGGTGAATCAACTCTGATCAGTACAGGCCCAGGAAGAAAAAAAGCCATCAAGTAGTTCTAGCTGGAGTGCTGCGTCAGAACCAAGTACAAAGTACAATGCTACAGTATCTGGGAGAGCTGGCTGCAGGAGTAACGTCAGGATGCTGTTTTCCCAGGATGGCAGAGGACAACTGTTACTCGTATTTGGTCTGGAGCTGTACAAGAGGATTAGAGGAGAAAGCAGAAACAGCAGTGACAAACACTGCACACAAGGGAAAGGGATTGTGTGCATGACACCGGAGCATCCTCACTGGAAGCCAGGTGCTGGTTTGGGAGCAACCTGAACGGTCACCTGTGATTGCTCAGCAGCTAGAAGAGAATCCAACAGTCCCTCTGATCTCCTGCCTTACTGATCACATGGCCACAACTCATCTCTAGTTATCATCCTTTAAAGGAACACTGTGCTAACACCCAGATCTACAGGGCTTTGACCATTCACCATGTTGATAGCAGCTAGGCATTAGAGATTTGCTCACCTGAATAATAAGTTAAGACCAAAGAGTGTGAACATTACAGCCATGTACCCAACAATTCCAGTAGCGTAGCTCATCTTGTATATTAGCAGAAACCATTTATACACCAGCCTGTAAGAGACGTATAAAAATGAAGGCATTAGGGTTTCTTGCAGTGAAGTCTCACAGAACACCTGAGTGTTTTACTGCATCTTAGGATATATGTTGTTGTCTGCATGAAAAGGAGGTAAGATCTGGCATGCTTATGGAAGCTAACAGCTCACAGTCCTAACCTCCCTCTGATGATTATTCTACTTGTGACTCTAGATGGGTCAACACACACATAGCATGACAACTTCTAAATCCATTAGATCTTGACCTTCAAGACTAGGAGCAAATGCTGTGTCCTAAACTGGGGATAGGATGCGAGTCCCCCTCGTGCCCAGAAGAACTGACATAAATCAAGCTTACAGTTAGTCACTCAGATTAGCACTGTTCTGGGGAAATTAAATATTTGTGATAGGCCAATTGGCAAACAGCATAGCAAGATGGTTAAAGGGGCATGTTTAACCCAATTTATCGGATGACTCTTCCCACAGGCAAAAATATGGCTCAAGTCCAGAGTTGAACTGAAAAGTTTAACCACAATCATTCTGTTAGAAAGAAATCAGCTGCTGCTGCAGATTGTGCGCTTCTAGCCTTGGGCTTGTGATTCACAAGGAGAGGTGTGTGCTAACCTGGGAGTTGTTTGCACGAGAGGTTTACGGGTGGCTCTGAATGTGATGAAGGCTGTGACGGTGGAGAAGAGGACCCAGATCACCAGGAACCGCCACCAGTGCAGCTTCATTGTGAAATAAAGAGGAACAACCCACATCTGAAAGAGGGTCACCATCTGCAAGGACAAGTTAAAGGCATGTCAGATAAATGCAAGATCACACTGTTTAACCAGCACTGAAGGATGCCACAGGTCTGGTAACCTTTGTTCTTCTTTTATCTCTTAGAGACAGCGTATTCCTAGAGAGAGGGTGCAAATATTAATTGTGCAATTCAACCCACTGAACACTGGTGGTGCAACATGAGATTTAAGTCAGGCTATTGAGCTCTGCTCAACTCTGCTAGAAGAGGAATACCAGCAGAGCTGCTCTCTCATCAGTTGCTGAGGTGACCACATCAGCTTTCCTTCACTCAGGATTCCTGAGAGTTTCATTTTCACCTTAAAGCAGGTGCTGAACGATGGATTCAAACAGCAGTAAGTTTTAGACTTGGTCGTACCATTTCCATTGTTCCCCTGTACTCAGTTTTTGCAATGCAAATAAGAGTTATTTGCAACATAGCAGTTTAAAAAAAACAAACCTGAACCAAATCTTTTTTTCAACAGTTAATTAGCATAACCACCACCTTGAGACCCAGAAGAGAAACCTCCTTCATCTCAAGTGGGAGGATATCCACTGTTCTGCAGCCTGACCCAAGTCAGTGGTGTGAGAAAGGATTCAGTGAACTGAGTGATCCAACAAGTGCAACCCAAAAGGTCAGCAATCATGAAAGCCAGCTTTTATTCATGAAGCTGTTCAAGTTATTCTACTAATCACATTATTCTAAGTAAGTGCGATGGCAAGATCAAGTGGTCCCATTGTTTCTTTAAGGATTAGCACAAGGGTGCTCAACCCCCAGCCCATGGGCCAGGGCTGGATCCTGGCACAGGGCCCAATCTGACCTGTGGACTTGCCCCCTGCTATAAAAGTGGCTTGCAGGGCCAGATGAGTGGGGCAGGGCCAGTCTGCATGTTGGGACTGAGTCGTGAGAGCCTGCTGGTAGCCCCTCCTGTGTCAGGACTAGGTCCCAGTGCTGCCCCCTCCCAGCCCCCCACACTAGGATTGGGGTCCTGGGGCCCAGCACCATCTTTGCCCAGCCCTGCATGCACTGGGATTGGGCGCCCCATCCAGCACGCAGGGCCCAGGGCTCTTCATAGGTTGGGAAATATGGCACCAAGGGAGTGGTGCCACCACTCCCCTGCTGCCAAATTTCTGGACCTGCAGGGCATCTCATGAGCCTGATGAGACTGCTACAGGTTGGATCTCGCCTATGGGCTAGGGGCCGAGCACCCCTGGACTAAACATATTAAGTGGCGAGGTTTTACATGGATTCACTCAATTACTCAATGGTGTACTGTATTTACTCAAATATAAGGCAAGGTCCCACCTGCCTCTGCCCAATCAGCATGGGGAAAAAAAACTCCTCCTCTTATATGGTTTCCTTGTATGAGAACATTAAATACACTGTCTGTCTTTGAACTGGTGCTAAAAACAGCATGTGCTTAGTAATGGAACCAGCCATGAAGTTCATTAAATGCAGCCGAAGCTGAGCATAACTATTAAATACAGAGGGGCAACCTTGCCAATGGGAACCTACCACAAGGATAGACTATTGCAGCCCAACTGAATAATACCCACTGCGCACAGTCCCCCTCAGCGCCAACTCTTTCAAGTCATGGTGAGCCACTTCAACAAATACATTTTGACTTCCTGTTCACTCCCACAGCTAAGCTGTGTCTTTCTTTCTCATTCCTAATGATTCCTGTTTCTTCACCAGCCTTAAATGTCTGGGAAACATCACCAAGTGGGTCCCCAAATGGTTCACCCTGTCACCCCCTCTCTCAAACTCTCTCACATGATTAGTGTGGCCCCACCCTCCATGAGGTGTAGCTGAACCAGGTTGCCCCGAACCTCATCTACATGTAAGTTTCTGGAGGATCCCAGGACTCATGACAAAAACATCCGGTTGCAGTCATGAGTAGGGAGCTACTTAGCATGTGGATTCTTTGCTGGGGGGGCGGGGAAGTATCTGGAGTTCACACATACTGAGCAATGCCAAGCTACGGGGTCACCATGGCTTGACATGCTGTTGGTGTTGAGGCCCAGCTCAATGAACTATAAGGTAAATCATGAGCGTTTTGGCTTTGGACTAATGTCATGCATAGGTTGTGCTATATATCAGTAAACACAAAAGTGCTGCTTAAAAGTATTTATGGAATAACTGTGCTAAAATCTGCAGCAGTTTCAAAAAAGGGAAAGATGTACCATTTTCAGATAAGCTAAATCTGTGGGTGCCTGTAGTAATTTACACAGGTTTATTTCAAGGTCACTGTTTTCAGATATGCCTGGCCTTTCCCTGTGCTCAAGGAGAGGGAGAAAGTGGGGGGAGTGGAGGGCAAGGGGCCTACCTGATCTCCCAGATTTATTTTCCCTGCTTTAGCAGTGGGATGGGGACAAATCAAAGGCGAGCCTCCAATAATTAGATTCTATACATGCACTTGGAAAATTATAACATATTTATACATTTTCTATATATTGAATCTAATTATTTGGGGGGCCATCTTATATTCAAGTAAATACAGTAATTCTGTGGCTGAGCTGCACGTCTCTACATACAGTTCCGATACACTCTTGGAAAAAGCTGGCAAAGGATGTTTCAACATCAAACAGCAGAAGAGTGACAATTCACATGCTCAATAGCTAGAGATTTAGCTGCAAAGCCAGAGGGTGGACAAGGTGGTCAGATGCTTACATTGTAGGAGCGAGGGTGCCTCTGTTTCCATTGTACCAATAGGAGCTGTGCTACTACTAACGTGGCGATGAGGATGAGGACCATTTCCGCATGCATCGCTTCGTGACCACGGTGCTTGGCATGCATCCGAGCATGCTCGACCCTGGAATGAGAACAAGGCAAGTCAACTGGGGTGTGAATCAGGGGCCCCTGAACACACCGAGCTACAATGAATGGCATGGTAGGAGTTTGTGTGAGGCCAGGAGGACTATATTGGAAGGGGAGGGGGAGTACGTGGGTACTGGAGGGTAGGGAAGCATGCTGCTGTTGACAAGCTGAGAGGCAGAAAAAGGCACATCTGGTCTGGCTTGGATTCAAGTGCTATAAAAAGTTAAAGAAATGCCTGCTTCCTGCTCTTTGCAAACAGGACAGATGATGATGGAAAATGAGGGTTAGAAGGGACCTCAGGAGGTCACATCTAGTCCAACCCCCTGCTCCAAGCAGGACCAGCTCCAACTACTTCATCCCAGCCAGGGCTTTGTCAAGCCGGGCCTTAAAAATCTCCAAGGATGGAGATTGCACCACCACTCTGGGTAGCCTGTTCCAGGGATGTTAAGGGTTGGGTTGGTGTTCCCACCTGCTGAGAGCAAGGAGAAGCAGACTGCAGCTCTTGCATGTACTGCCTGGTACCGATTATGGCAGCATTTGCTTCCGAGGAAACTCCCTCCTATTTATGTTTGTTGGGCAAATATTGGACAAATGAACAAATGCTCAGCAGAGATGCAGTGGGTCAAACAGAATGGGTGAAAGGCTCTTTCACTTCAGCTTTTTGAAGCAAGTTACTTCTCTCCCGCTCACTCAACTGAAGAGGAAAGCAGCCCCAAAGAACAAACGATTTGCATAATGTAAAAGAATGAAGATTCAATCTGCTTGTTGCGAGAGGAACAGAGACCACAGGCCCAAGCTGCTATGTCCCACCTTGAGATAAGAATCATCACCATAGCAGAAGAGCAGCCCTAATAAACTGAAGGCCCAGCATGCATTTCTCTACCTCTGTTCAAGGTAAGCACCTGCTCACTGCTACAGGCCCAGGATGCAGTGGCCTATTGTGAGAAGGAAGCCACGAGCTTTTATAACAACAGAGTCTAGGTCAGCCTAGAAGCCAAGACTTGCGAGCAATGCATAGGTTACTTCACTTAGAAAAGTGAACACACTGTGAATCAAAAATACACATTTTCAGTTTAAGGAGCCTTGAGACTGTTTTACAGATAAATGTTCAAAGAAGGCTGGCCTCGTTACACTCTTACAAAGAAGCATCCAATTAAAATTGGTGTGCTTAACAGGAAAGGTGGAATAAGTAGCAGTCAATAGGTCTGGAGACTGAGCTGGCGGCTCAGGACAGGTGACTTCCTCACCGTAAGAAGGCGAGGATTTTATGGTACATAGGCTTTGCATTTCAGGACGGGCCTCTTTTGCTGTGCACTGTTGGTAACATCAACGTTGCACACTGGGGGAATCCAGTGAAACACAAACTGGCTGCACCCTACCACTCACCTCCATTTCTCCTCTGGAGACAAATGCGACAGATCAACCTATGGAGGAAAAGAAGTCATTTACTGGAGTGTGACAGTAGCAATATCAGCCTGGGGAAGATCAGTGAAACATTTCTCAAATAGAAAGGGGTCGGTTTCTGCACTGCTTGAGCAAACATTTCCTAAATGCTGGCACAGAGACATTTTAATTGGCCCCAAGTGTCCAGCTTCTTATTCATTCCTCTTAGCACCTGATTCAGACTGCAGGCAATGCTAGAGATAAAACAGCTAGTTGTAACTTTCATAGGATCTTCTTCATGGAAGTGCTTCTGAAATTCAAACCAATAGGTTAGGAAGAAAGCGGGACTCAAAGGGGAGAGGGTACGTATTAACCACAACCCCACGTTCTAACCATTCTGCATCCAAGACAGAAGAGTGTAGCCAGCTGCCGTCATCTGAATATTAGCCCTTGGCAACCCAGAGTTCACACTAGTGCCTTACAGCCTGGGCACTGCCACGAGTTCTAAAGAACCCTTCGCATGGCTCCACACAAGTGTTACATCACTTGTGCATATCTGGCTGCGCACAACCACACCGCTCTGCAAGCTGGGCTACGCAGCTTGGGATGCTAAACTATGTCCTCAGTGGGGGGCCAAACTTTTTGGCGGGCGTGCCACAAATTAGCCCCCCTCCCCAAAGGCCACTCCAATCCCCTTCCCATGACCGATTTGCTGCCCTGCTTTCCTCTCCATGCCTTCTCTGCAGCTGTACGGCCTGTCCTCTCCCTAATCTGCCAAATGTGCAGGCTGCCAGCTACACAGAGGCTGCAGGATGACTGCCGTGGCCCTGACTGGTGTATATTTCACTATTTATTGTAGTGCCTGGGAGCTGCAGTCAAAGACCATGACACCCACTTGGCAAAATGCAATGCAAACGCAGAATTAAAAGCCAGTGCCTGCATTTTCTCTGGGGCAATCCAAGTAAATGGCAGCAGCAGCAGGCTGATGCTGCTGTCCACGGAGGCAGCGTTATTTAGGGGATGGTCTCCAGACAGCAGCACCCTAGCCCTCGTCAAGCACTCCTCACAGGAATCACAGAGGAAAGTTTCAGAAAGGATTTAACTGAGAACCATGAAGGAGCTTGGCAGATAGTTCCCGGAAGCATGTCTCGGGCATGAGCAGCAGCGTAGGTGTCAGCATGAAGCTTCTCATTTTAAAATGAACGCGCAGACGAGCGAAGCCAGCAATGCGGACTAACCAAAGGGGAAGTCTCCATCTCAGAGGCTGATGCTGCTAATAATCTTTGCTTCACACAAGTTTAGCATAGCCCTGCCGTCCCAAGGAAGCTGGGGATGCAGGCTTAGCTCAACAGACTATGGTGACCATAAGGATCACCTAGTCTGTACCACACAGGCCAGAGGATTGCACCCTATGGTTCCTGCATCCAGCTCCTCCTTTCCGGGCATCTCTCCTAGAAGCATTTAGATGCTTGTCAAGCATCACCAGCAGCCCTGGGTGGGATACTTATTCTCCAGGTTAACATATTTGCTTACTTCCAGTCGCTAAATCTTGTTATGCCCTTGCCTGTTATGTTAAAGCCCTCAACTATGAAATCCTTTCCCCACCGCATAGGTACAGTTGGGTAGAAGATCTTAGCCCTCCCTCATAGTAACACAAACATGGACATGACAGGATGTGGCGAATGAAACGCCACCCCATTTCTGCTTATCCTGAGCTCTATTTATACTGCTAACAGTTAAACCCAACAGAAGCAACTCGCTTGGGGCCAAAACCAACTGACAGTCACACAGAGCTGTTTATAAAACACCAGCTGCTTAAGTATGTGGCAACATGCTAATGAAGTCAAGGAACCAACACGCTATTTGGACTGATGCTTGGGTTTTCCTCCCACTGGGTTCTCAGTAAATAGCACAACTGCTCTGGAGGACTAACAAGTGAGGCTGCCCCACATACAGGCACTAGGCCACAGCAGCTCAGTTTGAAGGCAGGTCATGCCAAGGACTCTTAGCAAGCATTTCTGCAGTTGCAGCACTGGTGCTGAACAGAGCTCCACTTTGCTTCAACACAAGAGCATTAATTAAACAGGGGCCTCCCTGGTCCAGAGTAAACCTTTACCCCTTCTATCTTTTCATATCAGCACTGTGCAATACAGCTGACTTCTCCCAACACTTTCTTCAGATGAGATGTAGGCCTAAGGTCTCTCAGAAAGGCATTAGCTCCGCTGCCCTCACTAAATGCCAGCTTGGGTGAAATCACACTGGCTATTTCAGCTGACAGTGTATTCACCTCTACTTCATCCCAAGCCATTAAACAGTGCTGCTGCTGTGTTCCACCGCAGCACGACTGAATTACGAGAGATTTAGTTCCCAGCAGCTTTGAAAAGTATTTTGGTGTGAAGCAGATGGGAGATACAGCGATATGAATGCTCCCATTTAAGTTTCAGGGTTTGCCTAGGCAGTAGGTGGTGAAGGTTTGATACTGGATTTCAACGTGGGCCCATGAGACCCCATGCTCTTGAATCACAAGCAGCCACGCTGTTTTGTTTTTTTAAATAATTCCATTTCAGGGGTGATCTGATAAACAGCTGGCGCCAAGAAATTCAATACAATGGAAAACCTGGCTACAGCTCACTGAATAGGAGAAACGCAAAAATGTAAGGCTGCGTTTCTCAGCCTGACTCAACTTTGAATTGCTTGGATTTTGCAGATGTGGGGAAGTTACTGGCATTCTCCCTGGAACTGTGGAAGCTTATTTAATCAAGTACGGTGGAACAGAGCTCCCCGTCTCCATGCCCACGATGGATTTCCGAGCTGGTGCCAGCATGCTCCCGGCCCATCCGGGTAACCTACCACTGATCTAGTCTATGCCAGGGAACCTTCAAAAAATGTCCCCATTGCAGCTAAAACTAGATAAGTTATGTAGACAATGTTTTAACTGCTTATGCAATCCTAATGAGGAGGGGAACAATCTAAGTAGCAAGAATGTCATTGCTTGAAAAGGTTTATTTCCCCCTCGCCATGGAGGAATGGACAAAACATTGGAAAATGATCTATAGGAAGGAATCCTGGGAAGTCAAGAGGAAGGACACAGAAGAGCTCTTAGGTCATATTTGATCTAGAGTTTTTAAACTGTTAAGAGCTAACAGTTATTTTTCTGAGACTACAAGAGGATGAGACATTTTTTGTCTCCAGCAGCAATCAGTCTAACCAGAAAGCTCTCACACACTGGGAGACTAAAGGATGGTGTCCACTTCAGTATGCTTGGGATCTTAATGTATGCACATGAATATGGATATTGAATTCATGAATACTCATGAGCATGAAGTTATTCAGGTGCATAAATGTTTGCAAAATTGAGATCCTACTGAATTTTAACACTCAGGTAACAGAACCAAAGAGAGCTGTGTGTTTTTTCAATTAAGCCTCACTGTAACAGCAGCTTATTTAATATTAAGTTTTAGGTCCCCTTCTGCATATATCCTACAGGTGATGGAATGAGTTATTCCTCATATAAAATCATCTTTGACAATAACCATATTAGTCATCCAAGAATACCACATGCCTTGTTCTGTGCCAATATGTACCTTCCTGAACAGAACAAAGCTGCCTCCAAGGGGAACATGTCTTTTGCATTTTTTTTAAAGCATTACACACCTGAGAAAGTTACCTGCAAGGGGGAAAAATGGGTTAGTGCCATTCCTCCTTTATAACATACAAAGATCCCCTACAAAATTCCCTTGTCCTGATGCCAAATAGTCCAGCTAAATAAGGAAAACAAAAATGAGACCATTTCTTGGGTCCAGCCAATTTTGCATTCTCTGTATTAAGCCACCCAAAAAATAAAAAAATCTGTCAACACCTCAAAGGGAGGGAAGTGCTACCAATCTACAACTAGAGAACAAAGAAACGACAAGATTTGCTCAAGATCCCCCCCAGAAATAATTGGCAGAGCAGGTACCCGAGTCTGGATCTTCAAGTTGCAGAGTAGGAGCCTAACTGTTGCTTCTAAATTGAGTTACACTCAGCCTAAGTAGTATGACTATAAATTTAGCCACGAACACTTGTCCCTTGTCATGCATGGTACCTAGCGACAAAAAGTAAAAGCCCTTAGTGGGTCACCATGAATAACCCCATCACTGTATAGAAACTGAAACACCCAAGTCTATGCAATGCAATTAAATCATTATTTGTAGATTAGAAATCCAGAAGACTAAAGCAATCCAGTTCAAATTCCTGAACAAGCCAGAGCTCCCTGCTTGATTCTTTTAATTTCTCTTTGATCCAGAGCACCTCTTTTTCAATAAGCATATAATCGTGATCTAAAATAAATCACTGCAGCCACTGGAAAGTGATTAGTTACCTTTGCTGTTATGCAATCCGGTTTTATTCCTCATCTAAGCCCAGCTGGCTTCAATTTCCAGGCAGTGAATCTTGTTACGGCTGTCTGCTACACTGAAGGGCTCTCTGTTATCAAGTTTCTGCTCCTTACATAGGTCTAGAAAGATCAGATCACTGCTTAATCATCGTCCTCTCCCTGCTTAGCTAAACAGGCCGAGTTGCTTGGGTCTCTCTCTGCAACATATACTTTCTAATCCTTTAGTCATTCCAAGGGCTCTTCACTAAACCAATTTCACAAAATCTTTCTTGTGTTGCTGGACACAGTGTTCCAGTAACATCTCCACCAGTATAAATGCTTTCTACAGGGGAGAGGGGTGGGAAATCTCAGTATGCCACATCCTTCCATCTCTCCCCATGGCAAATCACACTGCTGAGTGCTAGCCCATCCAAAGAAGCAGAAGCAAATCATGTTCACACATGCATATTTTATACAACAGATTGCTCTGTGCAACAAGCGCAGCAATGAATGGAGGAAAGTTTCCAGTTTCACACAATGCTTTACAGGATAGCTCAAAAGCAGGATAAAACACAAAGAAACCAATGACTAGAAGCCAAGGACAGTCCTAGGATGCACATTGTTTTGTTTCATAGTACAAAAAAAATCACCAAAAAGTGGTTCTTTCCTCTAAACCCCTACTATAAATGTACAGCAATCTAAGAGAGAAGCAGTACGCTTACTACAAGCTCTACTACACGTTGCTTTTGACCTCATGCTACTATGCCTGAGAAAGAGCTAAGGCGGCAGATCTGTAGATGGAAAAATAAGCAGTCACTCCATTTAGTTATCTAGTAATGGACCTTTCCATGCCAAATACTACCTAAAGCTGCGGTACTTATAGATACCAATTATGACCAAATGCAGAATAAGGTGCACATTTCACACCTGTACAATACTGTTCCTTGTCGGCAGGCAGTATTTCCTCTAACATTATTTGTATTTATGCAACAAACTTTGATCTCAAAGAATTTCAGAGCCCTTCACGGAACCCATATACACACATACTACCATTAACATGCTGCCAAACTCTGGTGTGGGAGGTGGCAACTGGGCAGATAAGCTGCACAACATTATATTCCAAAACAAGAAGTACTGGCCAAAAAGACTGGACTTTCTGGAGAGACATCATAGCATCTTTAACATCTCTAAAGAGGTACTTTTTAATATGACACGAGAAGAATCCAGATAGAGTGAGCTCATTATATGCACCACGGAAAGCTGATGGGCTGAGATGACTGCTGTATTTTGAACCTGCAGGGAGCACAAATAGCTCAAGTCCAACTCTTATAATACTAAAGCATGCACAGTTCCACAGGCTAACCGCTGATGCACAAGAAAAGTATGCATGTCTCTGAGCCCTGTAAGTGGGGCAGCGGTCAGATTCACACCCAATGCTATCTTCCTTTACAGAGGCAGACGGGGCTGCTCCGTTTGCCTTCCCAGTGAGTTTCTAATGCCTTGGAGTCAGACTGATCGATGGGGAGTTCGTTTAAAAAGGTCAGACCAGTCAACTCTTTCACGTTATCCCACGACAAGAAAGATTTCTTGCAAGTCCCACCCAGCTGCTGATACAAAACGGAGCAGTTTGTGACAGCCTGTAACTGGCTCTACCTTCCCATGATTATTCCTTCAGTGACAGAACACAGCCCTAGCAAGAAGGATGATTTTCTTTTCGTGAATATCAAAGTTGTGAAGCTTATGGTTTCACGGGGCCAAGCATGGAGCAATCAGCTGGATATAGCAAGGCAAGCTGCTGGATTTTGTCCGGCTGTCTTCAGTGCATTCAAGTACAATCTGGTGCCTTGCTCTTGCCTAATTAGCAAGACAACACAGACACATGCAAGACGCATATGCCGCAAGTTCATATGTAGCCTCTGCACAAAGAGGTTGTTGTTGAAGTCATTCAATTATAAAAAAGAACCCTTAAAAACTCCACACGGGTCAGACATTTCTTGTGCTTGTGCAACTTCTCAAAGGGACCAAACAATGCATGTGCTGAACACAAGAGAGAAGCCCGAATCCTTTGTCTTAGATTTAACAGCCTGCAGAGTTCGGCCCCCAGCATCTCAAATCCTTTCCCCTCTTCCACTTAGTCCCTCTCCTCCCATGCCTCTTCTCATAACCACCTTCCCCTTGGAGCAGCATCCTGTTTCCTGTGCTATGGCCACCTTGTCCGCTTCAAGTTTCCCCAACACATACTCACAACCCTAAGCCTTTCAATAATGCTCTTTCCAAAGATGCCGGCTCCCTCTAGCTATCAAGTGCCGAGTGTATTGGATATCTTCATTGCCATCAAGCGTCATGAGGCAGGGAGCATGTAATTTTAAACATTTCTGCAGTAACTAGCACGCTGACTGGTACAACTGTGCCTGAACGGAAGGCGCATAAAGAAACTACTAACACACATACGGGTACCTTGCAGAGTGGTGTGCAATGATGGGGATACTGTAACATTATGCCAGTTTAATTAGATCCTTCAGGCCATTTTAAATGGACACACCTCCTCCACCAATCTACCACAGCTGTCTCCCACTCCACGTCACCCACGACACATTGCCCAGAGCCCGGCAGGTGCTTTACTTGCCTGCAAGATGCACCCTGCATACAGGATGCACATACTTTGATCTTGCTTTACCCCCACACACAAACCCACTAGCCCAGCTACAGTCACAACGAGACGGAGAGACGAGCACGAACCCAATGCCCCGACACCGCCCCCGGCAAGTTCTTAAGCAGGGGATTAAATTCCGCACTGCTCCGATATGCGAGGGCACTAACGTCTGGTCTCATGATCCTCTCGGTGATCCTGCTTACCTAGCGCACACGGCACAGCTGGCTCTACAGAGCCCAGGCACAGAGCACTCGTTATGTAGATACACAACAACGCTGTGTTGGAAAGACAAGGGCAGCTTTATGGCTGCCAGCGATTCCAGTTAACACTGAAGGGTCTTCTCTGCTAAGGAGACTCCGCTCCTTACACCCCCAACCCAGGCACCCTGCCCCCCGCAGGGCTCCCCCCACCCCCTCAGCACTGCCCCACCCCCCAACCCAGACAGCCTTCTCCCTACCCCCCTCAGGGCTCCCCCACCCCCTAGCACTACCCTCA